ACTTAGTGTCCAACAAATAGTAAGTACTAATAAGTATTTGCTATTTTTTTTATTGTTGGTTCATATCAATTATCTTACTAATCTATCCTATTATTATCTCCATTTTTAGAAAAGGCGAACTGGGACTTAGAGAGGGAAAATGACAAACCCAAGGGTACACAAAGAAGTGGCAGAGCCAGACTTCAAAAACAGGTCTGTGTGACTCTGGCGCCAAGTGAGTGATGGCCCCTCAAAGAGGCAGAAGCCATCAACAGGGTGCTCAGTTGGGAATGAACAACCAGCTTTGCAAGCTCCTGCTTTCTCTTCCCCAATTTGTCCCTACTGTCCACATGTCCAACTTGATGGGGGTGGGGGTTCTCCCAGAGCCCTCAGCCAAATCTGAAGAGGCCAGGGCTTCTCAAAAGGCTACTGCCAATGCAGACCCACCTGAGAAAGGAACGAGTGCATGTTTTCACACTGAACAGGAGCCTCGCAGCAACAAACTCATTTGGAGTCACGAACCTGCCTCTGGTCTCCAGAGCTACTCAAGCCTCACAGAGCAATGGAATTGGAGGAGTAAGTAGGGATTCAGAAGGGCAGGAGTTTGTCTGGGGAGTGAAGGCTGCCTCCTGGAGAAAGTGGTCTATGAGCTGAGGAGATTGCCAGTTCGAGTGGGACCAAGAGTGTTTATGAATTTTTAAGGCAGAGGAATGGGATGTTCAAAGGCCCTGGTATGCAAGGAAGGGAATAATTCAGAATGTCTGAGGGTTTGGATTGAATGGAAGCGGGAAGTGGGATGACATGGGGAGATGAGACGGCATACATAATTTATGAGCAGATAGTGAAGAATGCCAGAATCAGGTCCACAAGTCTTCTACTAGAGGAAGGAGAACCACGAAAGGGTTTTTGTATAGGAGCAACAGGACCTACACCCATCCCCCTGCAAGCATGCAGAAGGTGGGCTGATTAGAAGGGGTAGAGACTAGAGGCTGGTTAGACCAGCAAGGAGGCTACTTCAGTAGTCCAGATGAGAGGTAAGGAGGGGCTGAACTTGGGGGTAGAAGTCTGGAACTTCTGGAAACTCTCTCTGGCTTATGTGTCCTCCATGGTGAGGAACTGGTAAGACTGTAATTGCTGGGGGACTTGCCCTCCTCAGGTTTGGTTGTGCATGAATCCTGTGAGGCAAGGTTTCCTCGGTTCAGAGGATAATCACCATGAGTCCACACCTTCCGTTTTAGTCTCTTCCTCATATAAATAGTATACAGCAAGAGCAGAATAAAAAGCCAGGACCCTACTTTCTGTCACCCTCAACCACCCCCAGTAGAGTTGCTAAGGTAAGGGGCCCCAGCTCTATCCCAATGTGTGGCAGGCAGGAAGGGGTGTAGGGACTCAAAGAGCAGGTCAGAACCTGCCCTCTGTCAAAGGAAATATCCACCCTCCTAAGCCTTTCAGAGACTGTTTTCTTACAATTAGGTCCCGCTGTTACCAGGGCAACTAAGAACTCTGGGCTTTGTGTTTCTGTGTTTGTTGAATCCCTGAGGAGAAGTGGCCCACAGAGCTTTCCCTAGTCTGGGCAGGATGCAGGAACTGCTAGTGGGAGGTGGAGACACCCCCCTCCCCCCCTCCCCAGTTTGGGGGTAATCTCTTGCCTTGGTAATGCCTATTCTTATTTTATGGGAGGGGCAAGAGCTCCATGTGAGTCAGTTCTGATATTCAAGGGTAAGGTTTAGGCTTCTCTGAACCTGGTATCCAAGGGCCAGACTTCTGCATCCATCCTATGTCACCTCACTCTCAGGGAGGTGCAATCTGAGCAGGTGTCTAGCAGGGGCAAGCTCACACCAGACCATGAGATATTCTGGGGTCATTACACAAATGTTTTTTGATCACTTACTATGTGCTTAGTGTGGGATCTCCAGGCTGGTTTCTGCTCTGGAGAGCTCTAAGGGAAGACTCAGAACCAAATTAGCCATTTAAATGTCCCTGAGCTAGTTAGTCCCCGAGACTTTTCTGCACTGGGCTGGGCTGGGTATTAGACTTGCTTAGGGTGTTTTTTAGACATAGAAATTCCTAAAGATTCTGATTCCATCAGTGTAGGTGTGAGTGGAGGGTGCTGGTTAAGAGTTCTAAATACCGAACTGCTGGAGTTCACAGTAGAATTGTGCAAATGAAGCAAGTGACCTTGAGCTGTCAGTTTCCTCACAGAATGAATGAGGGGAACAGTGCATTCACCAATATTTTCTCTTTCTTCCCCCATCCCTTGGGAACAGGATTTTTATGACCCTCACCATCCTTGTCATTCTTCTACTGCCCCTGTTCTTTTCTTCCTTCTCCTTTTCCTTTATTCTAATATTTCCTTACTCCTGGCATGCAAAAAGGTTTCTGTGAGGTGCAACCTGATCACCTTCCATTGGCTGCCCTGGACCACAGGCAAGGCCTGCCCATCTCTTGGACACCCTCCCCCACCCATTCTGCTGCAGCAGCCCAGAAAGGCATTGGCATTTCTGGCACCCTGTCTGCTGATTCATCTTGAATCCCATCAACTGAAGTTCTCAGATTTCTTTTTCCACAAGTTTCTTCCAAGACTCATCTTCCCCACTCAGTCTCCTGCAGTTGGTTTCTGAACCTGACTGCAAGATCTCACATGTGCACCTGGCAAAGGTCATATCAGCACATCCTTCCAGGTTAGGGAGATTAGAATTGTGATTCCATTTTGGAGGGGAGCCTCCAGTCCTCCAGGCTTCATATGATCTGCAGATGCCCCTAGTAGGCAACCTCTAGGTCTTCATTCAGCAGCTAACTTATTCACTCACTTATTCGTTTATGTACCAAACTAGGGTTGAGAGCCTACTGTGTACACAGCCATGTGCTAGGCCCCAGGGATCCAGCAGTGACTATGGTCTGAGTAGGAATGGGAGTCAGTGGCAGGGCCAGACTAGAATCCAAGACCCTGTTCCCTATACTCATGGGGCTTCCAGCAGGGTTGGACAAGGCTCACCTTACTCTTCTTACTTTCCCCCACCTGATCTGATGGGCCATGAGACAATCTGGGGTCACCGATCCCTGCCAGCAATGAACATGAGAAACTCCAGGGGTGCTGGAGACCTTATCTGATACCAGAAGCAGAACAGGAAGCCCCAGTGCTCACAATGCAGCTCAGGCCCCACAACTTTGTACCTCCCCAGAGGACAGTCAGCCACACAATCATGCAAACTCATCACCACAAACTTGGCACTACCACTGCCTACCCTTCTCTGCAGCACAGAACTGCCACCTGGCTGGTTCTCCCAGAGCCTCCAGAGATCATGCACCTGATGCAGCTCTTGTTGCTTGGGCAAAGGCCCAGAATCTAGTCAGGTTAAGGCTTGAGCTCATCAGGGGCTTCCTGGGAAATAGCATGGTGGATTAGAGTTGAAAGACTGTGAGTTTGGAAGTCACACAGACCTGAGTCCACTGTGGAACCTAATATCTCTAAGATCCAAGTCCCTCAGCTCTAAAAGGAGACACCTGCCTAATTGAGTTGTTGTGGGAATGAAATGAGATGATGTTGGTGAAAGTGGCACATGGTCAGAAACGCACTGGTTGCCTCCCTCTCTTCCTTCCTTCTGTCCTTCCTTCCTTCCTTCCCCTGAAAGGAGCAAAGCCAATGTGCCTCTGAAACTGGGCTTTGTATCTTGCTGCAGTTCTTTCATCTGGAGGGAAGGTGGGCAGTATGGGGCAGACCCGGAAGACAGTAGAACCTGTGAGTGGAGGCAGAGAGGAGCTGACTACTGGGCAGCTGCGGGGCTGAGAAAGAGCCACTTACCAGCTATAAACCTTGGGCCAGTGACTTCTCTTAAGCCTGTTTCCTCATCTCTAACATGAGGGTAAATGAACTGGGATAATAGATAATCAAGTGTGTGGCTCAGCACTTGTACTTAGTAGGGGGCTCAATAAACCTTCCCACCCATTGTACCAGAAAATAAATTTCCAATTCATGGCTGGAAAACTTGAGCAAATCCCAGAATAGGGTTCAGTTTCTTCTGACCCACATGCTATGAGGGCAGTGAAATCTTGCTGGGAGGGTCTCTGTGTGTACTGTGGGGCTGTTTAAAAACTGCACCTGCTAGTTTACTGGTGTCACATAGCACCACCTAGTGCCCCAAAGTGGAAAGGCCCTCCTGCCTGCCTCACCCTGCTTGGCCTCCCTCCCCAGGGCGTGTGTGTGTGTGTGTGTGTGTGTGTGTGTGTGTGTGTGAGAGAGAGAGAGAGAGAGAGAGAGAGAGATGGGGGACACTGTTATAGGATGGTACAGCTGGGCCACTCATAGCTTTATATCCCAGTTAGTGGAGAACTAATGCTATTTTTCAAGATGCCTAGTCCCTCCACTTCCTTCCGACACAAATGCAAAGGACTGTAGGAAGGTCCTTTGAGCTTCACTGGGCCATAGTTTCCTCATCTAAGGATTTCAAGGCTTTAGGATAGGGTTGTTTCAGGCAAGGTGTCTGGTAAGTGCCTGATGCCTCTGGGTACCCACCTATGCTTGCTCAATAACCCAGACAGTCACTGTCTTTACACACCCTTTATATTTTTATTGAGGAGAAAGCTTTAGCATATAGAATGATTTCTTATCTTCACAACACAGTAATGCAACAATAACACATTTATTTCCAACCCATTTTCTCCCGAGTCTCTGGGAATCCTTGGGCTGCTTTCATACCCCTGCATGCGTTTTCCCCCACCCCGCTTTCAACCCAAGAAAGTGCCCATAGCCCATAGTTTCTCTTACAGTTCTTGTGGCTATCACATCACAACAAATATTAAAGATCTGGGAAAAGGGAGAAGAGGGTAAAGGGGAACCCAGGTCCCCTTGCCTTCAGAGGCCCAGGAACCAGCTCACTGCTCACCCACTCTTTCCCCGGCTAAGACTACAAGGTCTCAGGGTGAGAAGCACCATAGGAACAGTCAGAGCCTGTGCTGAGGAGTCCCTGGAGGTGGGGGTGCAAGGCACCTGTCCTTTGCACTTCTCTGGCAGGGACATGAGCAGTAGGGCCATTGTGTTGACCATCAGCAAACAGGGTCCACAGCCTCGAAGAACAGTAGTTCCCCTTCTGGAACTCTCTCCTGAGGAAATAGCTGAAAAACAGACAAAATTTTCTTTACAGTGTTGTTCACTCCTGCACTGGTGGGGATGGGGAAAACCAGGTTACTGAAATATCCAATGAATTAGGAGAATACCTCAATTATTCAGTGTGCATGACTGACTGCATAGGTGGCAGCCATTTTAAATCCTGCTGATCATGAGCCTGCAGGATGATCTCCGCTTTGAAAAGACATACTGAAAACACACTAGAAAGAAAGGCAGCAAATAGTACTTGCATCTGTGTGGTGGGGTTCTGAATGTTTGGGATTTTTTTTGTGTCCTTATAGTTTTCTCTATTTTCTACATTTTCTATAATGATTATGCATTACTTTTCTCTTTGGAGGAGGAGGAAGCCTTTTTAAAAGGTAGCAACAGGTTATAAGAACCTGGCTCCCCTGGTCCCCAGGCTGAGAAATTTATGATAAACAAAACGGCTTCTTACCTTCTGCTGATGAGTAGAGACCTCACCAGCAACCAGCCAGCGAACTGGTCATCCTCTAGCTCCTTCCTCTTGCTTCTAGGCTCAAAATCCTAAGGCTGGGGTGAGGCTATCTACCAGACTCCAGTGAGGAACAGAGGCTTGATTTACTCTGCTCTATTCCCTCTGACTACAGACACTTTGATTGCGCTTGCCCAGCTGCCAGGCTCAGTGTCAAGGGCAGTTCAGGCCAGCAGTGGATTTGCCTAGAATTCTGTGGCCAGTGACATAGTTTCTGGACCCATGGCAAGCAGCAGGACTCTTTATAAGGGTCCCTAGGTTTGTACCCAGAAGTCCCAGGAGTTACTAGGAGGCAGTCGGCAGTCACCCTTTCCAGCCTTACCATCTAATTGAAGCTCAGCATCAGGCTATGGCTTGCCCCCCATGTGAGAGACGTGAGGATGGCCTGGCTGACAGGCTACAGTCTCTGTAGAGAGAAACTTCCTCTCTCTTCTGAGAACTACGGAATCCTTTAAGTTGAAGTTAAAGAGCAGGCCTTGGGCCCTCTCTGTCATTGGTAGTCCGGGAAGGAAAGGCCAGTTAGGCCTTCTATGAACCCCCAAAGATGGCAAGTCTCCTGCAAAGACCTTTGGCTGGGGGTTGCAGTCCAAGACCTGGCCTGGGGAGGAGACCGCCATCCCTAAGGAAAGAGTCACTCCTCACAATGTCAAACTGAGTTGTTGCTGCTTTTTTCTCCTCTTCTTCCTCCTCCCCCATTTTCCAGGCAACACCAAGGAAAGGGGTAACACTGGGTTCTGTCCACCAGGGATGCCCGGGAGGGCAGTGTGATAAGAAGAAAGGGCCCCAGATTTGGTGAGCTTGTCCAAGGACACTGATACAGTAGTCTGTGGGAAGGTTGAACTAGCTTGCTCAGCCACCAAGGACAAACCTCAGTGAAATGTCCATTTGACAAGTAGCTTTGCCCACCCTCATTAGACTACACGTAGGGTCCTCTTTGGGCCCTTCTGCTGGAGGATGAACCAAGTGTAGGCTTCTAGGCACATTTATGGATCCCATCCTGCTCTCTGTCGATTATATCTAGTAAATGTCCTCAGGAGTTCAGTGTAGCCCATCCTTTCACTTATTGGGGCAGATTATTGAGGTATTGGGTGAAGCTCTGGTGAGCCAGTCAGAGTTGATAAAACCATAGAACACAGGGTTAGGAACAATTAGAGGGGAAATGCAAGGGGGTGACCAGTTCATTTACGGGAATAGGCCCAGAAACCTGCTCACTAGCTTGTGGTAGGACTGAGCAGAGCGCACAGTCAAGAGGACAGCTATTGCTGACCCCTCCTTTCCCAAGTGGTCATGGCTGCAAGATGGTCTGGAGTTCTACAGGTCTTCTTCAGGTTCTTCAGGTCTGGAACTCCCTTAAGTACTAGTCAGAAAAGGGGGCAAGGTGTGGCAGCAACAGCAAGGACAGGGGACGCAGTGGAAGGGTGTGGTCTGGGTGGCCATCTCCCCCAGCACTCACACGCGAATTCGGCCACGTGCAGCCCGATGGCCTCCCTGTCTTGGAGTGAGGCGGAATAGTACTGGGGGCCGTCTTCGAGTTTGGCGTTGCACCAACCGACCTGCCCTGCGAATCAGTGGTGGTGAACTGTAGAAGGGTGAATTGGTACCTGGAAGGCCCTCCAGCAGTGGGACTCGATTCTGGTTCCTCCGTCTGCTGGCCTGTATTACGGGAGGTGATGTATCTAGGAAATTTTCATGATAGAAGCCAGAAGTCTGGGATGAAGCATTGGCATAGGTCGGCATCACGTCCATGAACTCATCTAAGTCATCATCCTGGGCCTCATCCTCTGTCTCTTCCTCGGGTTCTGGCTCCTGCTCTGGCTCCTGCCCTGGTTCCTGGCCCTTATCCTCATCCTTTTTCTCACCCTCATTATTCTTCCTCATTTCTTCCTCTTTCTCATCTATATCATCCACCACGATCTCGTCTTCATTGTCGTTGTCCTCCTCCTGGTTCTGTTTTATCTCCTCCTTCCTCATCTCTTCCTCCTTTTTCCTCTTTTCCTCCTGCTCCCTCATCTCTTGCTGAATAGCTCTCACACACCTCCGCTGGTCCTTGTGAAGCCTGCGCCTGTGCACCTCTGCATCTTCATCCTCACTGTAGCGCTCTTCTCCACTGCCCTCGACATTAGGGTCTGCAGCAAAAGGGAAGAAGATATTGCGAACCCCAGGGAGTGGGATTGGCTTAGGGACACGCACTTTTCTTTCTATCTCCACACATTCAAGAATCAGCTCATCCAGGTCGGCCATTTCAGTTGACCATAAGAGCTCCTTGCGGAAGAATTCTGAAAGGCCTTTGAGGAACTGGTTTTGAAGGCGGCAGTCATCCCAAGATAAAAATTGGGCCAGGAACTGAAAAGCATCTGCATAGCTGCCTAGGGTACAGTTTCCCTGCGTAAGCTTGCGGATGGCCTTTTTCGCCACACTTGGGGGGATGGGGCCATAGAATTTCTTACGGATTTCATCCAGGAAGCGCGGGATGTTGGCATGCAGGGGGCTTCCTTCCTGGGTGACTGAGATGGCCCAGTCCTTGGCGTTACCAGTGAAAAAGGAAATCAGAAAGGCCACCTGCTCAGCACCCCCAGGGAAATGATCCTCGTGGTCGGCTATGAAGGTCTCTAGCCGCATCAGGAATTCAGGCAGGTAGACCGGGTCGCCTGAAAAGGGCTCTAGCTCAGGCCACTCCAGAGGCAGCATAGGAGGCTGCGGGGGCAGTTCCTTGGAGGCGGGCAGGGGCAGCGCCGGCGCCGGCGGGGGCGGGCTGGGCTGCGGGGGAGGGTCGACCTGGCCTTCTGAGGTGCCGCAGTCCTGGGTGGCGTTGAGCAACAGCTCCTCTGAGGCGCGCTCGGGCTCCGTGCGTGGGGGGGGCCAGCGCATGAAGGGCAGTTCGCCCTCGGGCACGGAGTCTATCTCGCTGAGCGGGAACTCAAAGTTCTCCTCCGCTAGGACCGGCACTGGCCAGCGCACAAAGCTGGAGACATTGCCCCGCAAGGAATTCACCTCAGCCAGGGCTCTTCCGAGCTGAAGGCCCAAATTGGCATTCTCCCCGCGAAGGGCATTTAATTCTTCTCGCAGGGCCACGTTCGCCATGCGTAGGCTATTGAGGTTTCCTGACGCCTCGGACATCTGGACTCGCCCGGGGCCCTGGGTCCGCGGGCGGGGTAGGGATGCGGGGTATAGAGCTAGGCACTCGGAAAG